TGTTCTTCAGTCTAGTTGTGGAGGACGCTGCTTCACTGGCCCAAGTTGGCACCATCATTGCGCTCTTCCCAGGCGAGGCACATCAGTTGCCGGCTTCTGGACGGCCGCTCACTGTGGCTGCTGGCCACTCACGCTGGCTGCTGGCTACATACGGTAGCCCATGGCAACCCACTGCCAGAGAGGCTGCAGCCTACGTCGCTGCCAGCGACTCACAGCAGCCCAGCTCCAGGTTGAGCATCTTAGCTGTGGAGGGCAGTGTCACTGGCCCTCATATGTGGGATCCGAACAGGGTCCTCTGGCGTCCCAAGCCAGTTCTTAACCATCGCGCCACTTGGCCGGCCCGAGAAGAAGGATTTTGACTCCTGATCCTTGATATGTACCGTTTATTCCTTCTGTAAGCTTCTGGAAGATGTTCTCAGCATTCCAAATTCTAATAGGATGTGCCTTGGGATGGGGCTTTTGTCATTCTCTGGACTGGAATTTGGGGGTGGGGGGGTCCTTTGAATTTGGATATTGTATGTTTCAGTTCTGAGAATCTCCTCTTATTCTTTCTTTGATAATTTCCTTTCCTCTATTTCTCTGGGTTTTTTTGCTAAAACTACAATTCAGATATTGGATCTCCTAGACACACAGAATTTTCTTATCTCCAACTTTATCTTTCAATCCTTCTGTTAAAAATTCTTTATTTCTGCTGTCAATATATTAATTTCTAAAAGCTCTTATTTTTTCTTCTTTTCTGCATGGTTTGTGTTATGGCCTTCCTGCTCTTGTTTCACAGATGCCCTATTTTCTCCCAAATCTTTGAAGATATACATTTTAATTTAGTTTTACTTTCTGAAGTTTTTTTCAGCTCCCTATATTGTTTTCACCAAGTCCCTTTCTCTCTTCCTGCTGGTCCTTGGCAGTTCATTCACATTTAAAAGGCAGCCACTGAAACACTGACTGGAAGATCTGTATGCCCAGCTGGGAGCTGGCAGGCAAGTGGCTTCACTCAGCTGCTTCTCTAGAAGATCCCCAAATATCACAATCTGTAGCTCTCTTCCCTTAGACTGGTCCCCAGCAAAAAACTTTCCCATCATTAGCCTGAGAACAGCATCCCTACTTAATCCCATTTTTCCTGAGTTCATCCCTGCCTTCAGCTATGGCTGTGTCCCCCAGGCTGGTTCTGCTCTCCCAGGAGCTTCTCACACCAGCAGTAGCCACGAAGCTGCATTTGTGTGTGTGTGTGTGTGTGTGTGTGTGTGTGTGTGTGTGTGTGTACATACACGTGTGATG